ATAAAATGGGACGGAGGGAGTACTACGTAGTTTATGATGTTTTGCTTTACTTAGTTTATGCTTATTGTATAAAAATGAATATGGTGTATTCTAAAAATTTTTATTACTAGCTTTGTGTATTTTTTGCAGCGTGGGATGAAAAGATGTGGGGCGATGAAAGACTTTGGATGAGTCGTATATTTAATCAACAATAACAAATAAGGACTTTGTTATAGTTTACATAAAGTGTTACTGTGTATCTGATATCCGAGTGTATTTGTATTCTCATAAACATTGATTCATTTAGTTTGTGGTTGTGAGATAATAAATGGGTAAGACTAAGGTATAGGTAGCTTCTCCCAACATATAATAAATTTTTAAGTCTTTTTTTTAAACAATAAGATAATGAAGTGTCACCATCCTTAGTGTATCAAAGTTTACATCATATGCCCAAGCAATATTGTTACATGCTCCACCTCATAATTGTACTTGTAAAATCTCCATTTGGACAAAAAATTGAATACTACTACGTATTAAACATCTCAAGAAAAAAAGAGGAGTCAAATCAAGTATTGTTTCTTTTTTTGTCCAATCTGTCACAACAGGTGAGAGGAGACGAATTTGGAATGCTTATTCAGATGTGACACTCTTTGCTAGATTCTAAGGTCGATCAACATTATTAATTTATTATATTCATGAAAATAGTCAGAAGGTACGCTTATAGTTGTGCAAAAAGAAGAGGATCAGACACAAAGATGAGTGAGCCCATGAAAAGGTAGAAAAATAGGCCATATCTAGTTGCTTACTGGGATGAGATTACGTTAATCACCGGCTACAAACAGTTCTCAACACGAGGAACCTCAACAACATGACACGATCCAGACACAAAAAGATGTTGCATCTCCTTTTGTGCACTTAACTATTAATCTACCTTTCCTGGCATAGAGTTATTAAATGACTGGTTGTTGTTTGTTGATTTAATATTTAAAAAATGTAAGCAATCCACACGTATAAAAATTAGCAAGTGCAAAGTAAAGTGTGTGTGTGTGTGGGCGACATACATGAAACAAGCGCCATGAGTGGTGATCACAAAAATAATGAGATTTTCATCAACCAAATCTAAAGAGTTGTGCTTCATTCCGCCATCATGAATCCCTTCACTATGCATAAGAAACACTTCCTTAATCTTCAAGGCACCTTCAAGTGTTGTGGTATAGTTATAATCTCGTCCAAACACAAGCTGTGATTGCTCGACAATCAATAGCTCACCTAGATCTCTCATTTCATGGTCAAGCTTCAACACCTCTTTAACTTTTGCTGCATTTAAATGATGAAATTATATGCAATTAGACAAGTTCCCTTAAAAATGCCCTTTTTCATTTTTGCGTGTCAATGTTTCTCTTTTTATACACACATACACAGAATGAAATACACAAAATGAAATTCATGTCAGTGGATGTTGTGCAATTGTCAAAGGTAATGAGTGCCAAAAGGTTACACTCAAGTTTGATTCTTTACAACTGCGCTGGGAGGCAATTATGCTAAGCGTATGACATCTGCAAGCACCAAATCCAAGCTCTACTATTTGCTACCAATCTGCGACCAAAATATTATTTATCTTCTCTCAGTGACCGTCCAATTGAGGCTGAGGAGTACATTAGGGATCAAGCCACTACTTGCTACCATTTTTTTCACAAAATGAAATGCACAAGCTGTTTTAAGCTGCAAGGCAACTCAAATAGCCCGTCAATTTCCATAGGTTTTTAAGCCCTGTCCTTTTAGGTTGGAATTTCAAAATTAGATGTTGGAAGAAACAGGAAGATGTTGAGAAAAATTAGGAGTTAAAAAATGTTAGATGAATATTAGTATTAAAAAGTCACTCAATTAAATGGTAATCCAAATAAATATGTTTGAAAATTACAATTTTAGATAAAAAGAATCAATCATCGTTTGTGTTTGAGGTTATATGTTAAGAATTTAGATATAAATAATGTTATTTATATTAATCATACATAAATATTTTTTGGAAATGAAGATGCTTCGTTGGATGAGCGGTCATACACATATGGATAAAATAAGGAATGAAGATATGAGAGCTAAAATTAGAGTGACACCTATTGTTATTGTTGTATACATAAATACTTTTTTAAGTCATTGTTAGAAGAAATTAGAAAGAATTGGAAAAAAACTGAAATAAGTTGAAAATTAATTTTTTCAAACTCAAAACAACATACTAAATTAGACCTTATTTAATTAAATTAAGTTGTTAGCTTTTAAAATATAAAAATAATCTATCAAAATCGTGATTGAATATACATATTTGTGAAATGCCAAATGGACAAATGTCCTTCACAAATCACAATCATTTTGGGCCGAGGCAGGGCCCATTAATCGGATTTGTTTTTTTTCTCTGACAAAATAAAATTTCGCACACCAAACTGACCAAATGTCACTGACAAGTGACAATAAACTTTCGTGGCAAGTTTCCTTTCAACCCTCACTTGAGTCGCTTCTCCCTCTTTGCCTCCTCCTCCTCCTCCGTCGAGCGCTAGGGTTTAATCGACTCCTCACGGCAGCTAGGGTTTTGCAAAATGGTGGCGGATCGCGGCAAGAAATCCAAGGCATCCGATGCCGCCGCAGAAGACGACTCCAATCGCATTGACCAGGACCTGATTGTCTCCGTTGAAAAGCTTCAGGAGGTCCAAGATGAACTCGAGAAGGTTTTCCTTTCACCGCTCTTTACGCTCTCTTTATGCTCTATGTACTGTATTTTCGCTCGTATGATGGCTCTGGTATATTTTGGTATCGCAATTGTGTTAATGTAGACACTGTTTATTTGTAAATTGTAATGATTCCTTAGGGATCGGGTAGGGAGGACACTGTGAACAGAGGCATGAGTAAAACTGGCGTCGTTTCATGATTTCTGTGTGCTTATTCATCTGTAATTGCAAAAAACAAGGAGAATTTTTTTTGGTTGAATATAAATTATTCATACAATTCTTTATATAGTAAGAATTAAACTTACCCTACTTGCAAGTCATTGATGTTAAATTGTTAACTGTCAACTAGGTAAGTAGTGTCTCCACTTTTCTTGATGTATCTGTCAGCTTAAAGGGGTGTGATATGCTTTTCTATGATTCTAGCCACAATTTCCTCTCACTAAAAACGAGTCTAATCTTCTAAGCATCTTTCAGTATTTACCTTAAATCTTCTAAAACCCAACCAATTGTTTGCAAAGTAGGATGATAGTTCCAAGTCATGAATTTCAAATGTTTTGTCCTTATTATAGTGCACAAGTCCAGTAAGAGAATGAGGCATCTCGTATCTTTTGCCAAACTCAATGCTATGGCTGATCTCAGATACTTAGAGGATCATTAGTTCCATGTGTTGTAGTTTCCTACTTACCTTCTTAATTTTGCCTGATATTTATAGGATCAATAGGTCCATGTGCCATACTCCCATGTCTAGTATTAGATATGTGATATTTATAGGTTTATAGGTTCATGTAGCAAACATAATACTATGTCATAGGGTTTGATGTTATAGGATCTGCATTTCAATGTGCTATTGCTACCTCCTTAAATAGGAATTTTTGCAAAGGAATGAAAACACATTCTTGTTTTGGATCCGTGTGCACACTTTCATATTCTTTGCTGCTTATTTAACTCTAATAATCTTGTTATGCCAACGACACCACATATTCAAGAGTCAAGAGTTAATGACACATTTTGGACCAACTATGACACCATGTAAAGTGAGGATAACAAATGCTCATATCAGGGTTGTCTATGCCTCTATGGGCTGTGCGCTATAGACTTGTTAAGTTGCTGAATTCCATGCAACAATAGGCAAGTAGTATTCATGACACAAGACATTTGCATAACAAGTTATGAGGAACAATTGAGCGTTGCTGTGTAAGTAAGTAACTGTCATTAAATAGGATTAACCCATGAATGAAGTTTGAATTCGTATTGTTTGTAAAAACTAGTTACCTAATGCCATGACTAACTTTCAATCTAAACCCATATTCTTTGTCACGTCTAGGATGGTCATCAGTTTCTTTGATCTTTAATACGCAAACCATACAGCCTATGTGACATTTATAATTTTTTGAGTAAATTCCACAAAAGGTCCTTAGTTAAAGGTCGTTTTACATATTTAGTCCCTACATATCAAATATTACCAATTTAGTCCCCAATTATTATATCATTTTTTACGAATGGTCCTTTGTTAACGTTTTTGTTAAAAACATGGATAAAATTGTATATTCATCATTCTCTCTCTCCTCAATTAAGCCTCCTTCCTCCTCTCGTACTCTTTCCCAAACTCGTCGCTGAGTTTGAAGCTCTAAACCCAAAACTGAAATGATCATTCCTCTCTCAATTATTAGTCTTCCTGGTGGAACCTAAAATCAAAATCAATAAGCTTTATGGATGAGTTTTATTGGTTAGTCTCAAGAAATTGCAAAGAAATAAATATTAAAACTCATCCATGAAGGTTATTGGTTTTGAATTTGGGTTCCACCAGTTAGATGAACAATTGAGAGAAGAGTGATGATTTCAGTTTTGGGTTCAAAGCTTCAAACTCAGCAATGGGTTTGGGAAAGGAGTGCGAGGGGAGTGAGGAAACTCAATTGAAGAGAGAAAAGAGTGTGAATTTACAATTTTATCCACATTCTTAAAGGAAATGTTAACAAAGGACCATTCGTGGAAATGAATATAATAATTGGGGACTAAATTAGTAATATTTGATATGTAGGGACTAAATATGTAAAATGACCTATAACTGGGGACCTTTTATAGATTTTATTCTAATTTTTTTCTGTAGGATGTTTCAATTAAAATTCTTTCCAACACTTGCTGCTTTAAAAAAGTGTTCATTTTCTAAATTGTGCATCTTAAGGTTGTTAAGCCACTAACCTCTATATCAGACAGGTTCCAGTAAAATAAAATAAATGAAGTACTTGATTTCAAGGTCTTTATGGAAATATGCATATGATATATGAAATGGATGGACAGGACTTGGAAATACTACGTATTCAGAGAATTCTTTTATTGTTCTATCAGTTTAACTTCGAAGTATATGAACTAATTCACCCATTTTCGTAATTGTAATTGTTTTCAATCTTGGTTGCTATGCAGGTGAACGAACAAGCAAGTGATGAGGTATTGGAAGTCGAACAGAAGTATAATGAGATAAGAAGGCCTGTTTATGATAAACGGAATGAAGTTATTAAATCTATTCCTGACTTTTGGTTGAC